GGCTGCAAATAATGACTCTCAGAGGATGAGACCAGAACTTAATTAATATTAAGTTATTAATATCTACCCGTATCAAGGTCTCTCTGTATGACCCTCCTGCATTACTGATGCATCTAATACATCTAATGACTGGGCCTCAAATTTTTTCTTCTTTCTAAATAAACATTTAATATGTCTTATTTTGAATATTCACATGTTGTTCCTCTCAACAAGGATGGTATTTATCAAGAGTGAGTTTGTGTAGAAATGTGAGGAAAATTGGCCTGGCTGGCATTGTCACAAGACACTTCTGGTGAATAAATGTTTTTCTGACTCTTTTATAAAATGCCTTCTGAAACTCTGTACATAATAATAAACAATATCAATAATAACGTTATCATTTATATTGTGTTAGATGCAGGAACTACTGTGAAAATGTGTCTGTTTCAAATGCAAAAAAGTGAGGTAAGTAGTTCATTTGTTTTTTTTAAACGGATTAAATGTTATCTGAATCTGAAGTCAACATTTGTAATGGATGCTGTAGAGTGGCTCATAGTCTGCTTCATGTTCAGGCAAGACAACCAAGGTCAAGTCACAGATGCATTAAGATGCATGTTTGACTCACCGTCCTCTTAACATTTAGAGGCAGGTCAGCTTTCAAACGGTGTTTGCTGTACGTATGCTAGTGCCCCTCGGGATGTACTTTTGTCATGTTCATTTTTGATTTATTTCATAGTTGCGTTGTTTTGTTCTGGACTTGGCATATGCTTAGACTGAGTTTTCTGGGGCATGGTGGGTTAAAGGCCTAGAATCTACAGTATCACTGCTTTTTGAATTTAAGCTACTTCTCCCATCATGGAGAGCCACAGCTTCTGGATGATGTGTGGATGCGTTTGTCCTCTGGTCTGGGTCAGTACTCCTCTTAGCAGACTGCAATAAGGTTATATTTGCGGTCTTGCCTTTGTTTGGCCCTTCATGCTGCTTTTCCAACTCCAGGTGAGGGAGGAACTTGTAGTGGTTTCGATCCTACAGTTGAGGGCAGAGCAGAGGGATTTCTGGATGGTTTTGGTGTCAGATCCCCGAGGCTTAAACATCTGTTAGCTTTCATTCTCCTCTGTGCAGGGTTGACCTCTAATTGGGAAGCTGCTTTTGACAATACAGACGAGCCTCCTGTTTTACAAAGAAAAGAAAACCAAGAGAAGTTTAATGCAAAACATGTCCAGGTTATGTTTAACCCAATAAATCTAAAGGAAAAAGCATAAAGGAAATTAAGTCTTTTTTTAGGACCCTTAGGATTGTGGCATTAATACCTGTATTGAAATTGTGCATTACATTTCATGACACGAGCACATCAGACAAAAGAAATTCTAAAAATGCACAGTATTGATGATTCCTCAAATCATTTCCGTTCTTAAGCCAGTGTTTTTTTTTTTTAACTGCAACACATTTTTTAATTAAACCGCGCAAAAATTAGTTTTAAACAAGTGAGGATATTTGACAATATATTATTCACTAAAATAGCAAACTAACCGTGCTGTACCTTCATCCAAACGTTGAACGGGAGCGAGACGAGTAAGAGCGGCTCGACGCTGGCGTGGCTGTTGTGTGTGAGAGCTGCTGTAGAGAGGTAGAGAGAGAGAGAGAGAGAGAGAGAGAGAGAGAGAGGGAGGGAGGACGATGATGATGATGCTGTCGGTGGAAAATGGCTGCTGCATCCTCGAGCCCATCCGAAACCCTATGAAGGTGGACAGAGAAAGACAAGAAAATGAGAGCAGCGAGCGCAAGGAGTGAGTGAACGAGAGACCGTGTGCGTGCGTATGTGAGCGAGAGTGTGAGGACGCGCGCGCGCGCGTGTGTGTGTGTGTGTGTGAGAGAGAGGGGGCGCGCGCGCGCGCGCGTGTGTGTGTGTGTGTGCGGGGAGAGGGGGAATAAAAAAGA